AAAGGGAATGAATGACTTGTCTGGTGGGCGGTCATGAGCGTATTATTATTAGTAGAATGACCAGCAGCAGTGAAATGTGGGCAGCACAAATTGACCAGCGAGAGCTTTAGACAGACTCAAATGTGAATGCTCAGGTAAATAATAATAATAATTCTTATTCGGTGTGAGTGTTTAATAGTGAAATATGTATTGCAGAGAATTAAGTGAGAAGCAAACATACTCTAACAAATGATGTATGTATTTGCGTCACTATATTTTTTTGTTCTATATGGTGGTAGAATAATGTACAGGAGTGAAGAACAGAAATTAAATGAATTGAAAAAAGTTAATTCATGCAATACAACATTATTTACAGATGTTACAGTTTGTATCCAGACTGCAGAAATAATTTATTGCACTAAATTTGTTAAGGCATTATGTTTCCTGTTTCATGTCTTTATTGAGCAATATCTGGTGATTTCAAACTACTGTAATTTAATGTAGATAATGCCACATTTCATTGCAAATGATCCTTATCGCACTATATTGCTGATTAAGTTCATCAAGTGGGATATTTTCTCCTTCAGTGGAAGTTAATATGTTACTAATGTAATACTGTAACTGATAAACCATTGGTTATGTACCGGAGGTTACACACTTAATAATAATCTCAATTTTCAAAACGTTAGAGTTTTGTCTAGTACACTGAAAAGTAAGACATGCTTTTGTTCAACTTAACATTTGGAAGTGAATTGTGCAACTAGGAATTGAAAACTGCACTATGATAGCAATAAATAACTTTGTTGAATTGTTCTGTTTTGTATTCTGTTGACATTTAAGACATATTCTGTGATCATTATTCTATAGACATTTCATTCGCTTTCTTTCTTGTGGGCTAGCAAACAGTAACATGATGCTAAACACCAAATGTTTGAGATACATGAGGTTGGCATCTTCATGTCCTGCTTGAAGGGTTGCCAGAATTATCTGGTTGATCAGCGCAGTAGGGGGTATCTCTTGACTTTATAGATCTGTATTTGTTCCATCCATATAGCCTTTTTTTCTTAATATAATAACATTTTACCTTTAAATTTAGTTTTGCTAGTCTGATAAGCGAATTTCGCTCAATTAAATTTCAGGGAAAGTTTTGAAAGAATGCTTCATTGGGCATATTCACCACATAAAATTTTTATTTCTTTGTTTTTACTTCTCTGTAGAACATCATAAAAGCACTGTAAAATGAGCTTTAGAGAACAAGCTACTTTGAATGAGGTAGCAGCTTCCGCGTATCTTTCTGGTTAGAATTTCTTTAAGTGAATATTCTAGGCAATTGGATGCATTAAAGTAGTTTTATACTGAAAGGTGAAACTATCTTCACTCTATTCAACTAACTGTTAATCTAAATAAGTGCACAATTTAAATTTAAAAAATCCAAGATAGATTTTATATTTCAAGGAATTGTTTTAATGTTAGAATAAATAAGCGAGCAAATATTCAAAAAAGGAAGAAAATTCGGCATTTGAAAAAAATTATTTGAAAACTGAATCCTTATCTGGCCCCTGCCTCTACCCTGAGCATTAGCCACAGGACTAGGTACCTTTCAAGGGAAAGAAAAATGCATGGCCTTAAAAGAATCCATGAGATATATATTGTTTCTGCATGCTGACAGTGGAATCCAACAGTGGAGTAAATCTGGACATAATCAGGGATGGTTCCCATTGTAATCAATGGCGCTTAAGTTAGCTGTAACTAAGGTGGGTCCCATTGATTTCAGTGAGAACTCAATATGACTAATTTTGTGTGGATCTAATCCAGGATTTTCTTAATAAATGCTTATTTATTTGCTAAAAGTGTTCTAAGTTCTATGGGCAGATGTTTTGTGTGATCTCAGGTTAAATATTCTATTTAATTATAGTTCCATGCATTCTCAAATCTGTTTGGCATTTAATTCTGTGGAACTGTGTTCTTTCATAACGAGCAGGAGCTTCACTAGACTTAAATTACAGAAAGGGGCTCTTGCAGGGAAAAAAACTAATTATTTGTTGAAACAAGATGAACATTATTTTTCATATGAGAGGAAGATACTGATATATATGAGCCAATCTGACATGTATCAATAATGTTGTGTATTTTAGGTATCTGTTTTGAACGCTTATTAAATGAGCCTTTGAAGACTCCAAAATGTAACATTTTTTTCTTTATGCTACAAATACTTGCAGTGTCTTCAGCATAAATGCATACCGGTAATTTACCACTACAGTACACAGTTTGAAAGAGCAAAATAGAAACAACCTGCTCTTCTTCTTTAATATAGAACTGTGTTTCATCTTGTGCCACCACAGTTTCACTTTCCTTGTAGAAAATCAGAGATCCAAACTCATCAATGATCCCTGTAATAGTTTTCCAATTATAACATAAGGAGGAGGAAAGAGAGAGATAAAATCATTGGTATCCCCACAATCTTCTTTATAGCTGTGATGATACTTGAAATGAAAATATATTCATGAAAGCAGTGAGAAACATAAATATATATCCTACATTAGATTTATGACACAAAATGTTGCTTCAGGTAAAGGAAATGAGCATTAGCAATTAATTGTTACAAGGTGGTATAATTTGTTAGGAAGAATACTTACGCGAATGCCAGGCTGTTTTATGTATAAGTAACTTTAATATATGTAGATATGTAAAGATACATAACACAGTGTAGTTCCATGTATGCTTACACAGAGGTTAGGTCCTATTATGTTTAGTGGGACTTAACCTGCAGTAACTGTAAGTGCAGCAGAGTCTAAAGCTACCAAAGCTCACTCATATAAGTTTGAGATATTACAACTTCTCATGGTGCTAGCATTGAATGCATGGTGCTTCTTTTAAGCATGTTTTCTAAATATAACTGTTTATTCACTACTTCCTGGGAGGTGACAGAAGAAAGGATCCTCTGTAGTGGAAGAAAAATTTGTAGTGAAGATAATTTGAGAGAGAGAAACATTGGTTCTGATACTCATTGTGGTGTAATGGATAGACTGACAGAGTAGGACTCAGGAGGCCTGGGTTTGAATCCCCACTCCTCTGTGGAAGCTCGCTGGGGGGTGTGGCACTGATAATACCACTCTTTAATTATCTCACCTTGAAAGCTGTGTTAGAGTCATCCTGTCAGTTCCGACCTGAAAGCACATAACAACATTGAGTTTAAATTAGGTGGGTAGATAATTAATAAGATATTAGATTATGTTTTTGTTTTGAGGAGAAAAATCAGTTGATGCAGCGTGCACCAATTCTGCCTTTGTGTGCAAATTCTGTTTGTAGTGGCTGCTCCTTTTTTTCAGGTGGCTTCCTTATCATAAATGGTTTATCCAGAATGAGCAGAAATGAAAATTTTGCTTGCCTTTTCTTTTTCTTTTTTGCAGCCTCTTCTCTGTGGATTGAGAGATGATACTGGCTTCTGTTTGTGCCACATGTTTCAGATGAGCTATTTAGATAATTGTGAATTTTTAAAAAATTATCAGAGAAATATTCCTGATTCTAGTCCCAAGTAGAGCAGACTCATTCAATGAATGGGACATAGCTATCACAAGCAACATGGGTTCCAATTATTTTAATGGGTCTACATGAAACTCACTGAGGTGGGTGTGGGGAATGGCACTAGCAAAACCACCCATTGAGTATCTTGGAAGCTCTATAAAGGTCACTATAAGGCTCCACTACGATTTGATGGCCTGTAACACACAATGCTTTGCACTAACCTGAGAAGTAGCTCTTATGTTTAAAGGCAATCTAGTCAAACACAGCAACACCCAATTTATTTCAAAATTATTGCTCTTTTTCAGTTAATTTACTGTTGTTCATATACAAGTATTTGCTTTATATGAGAGCCAATGTGGTTTAGTAGACAGATTGTTGGACTAGGAAACAGGAGTCTTGATTCAATTTCCTATTCAGTCATGGAAGTTCACTGATGGAGGTGATAATGATAAACCACATCTTAACCAGCTCACATACCTCGAAAACCCTATTAGGTTTGCTATAATTGGAAGCACTTTGACGGGACGTAATAACATTTCCTTTATATGGTATCTCACAAGGAATGATAGTTTTTATGTCTTCTCTTGTTAATATCATTTTTGAAAGTTGTGCAATTTTGCAGTTAGAGATAAAAATTGTCCCTTTTTAATTTGTCACAGAACTGAGTACAGTGAAGAGAAACGGGAGGAATTTGATTTTAAGATACACATGGGTAGACAAGGCTAATAGTTAACATGCATGACATTTGTATTTTCAATTCATTCAACTTTTCCCAGTCTATTTAGCTGAAACTGACTTTAACACATAATCAACCCCAAGTGCAGAAAGAACTAGAGTGTCTAATACAAATCCCACCCCCTCTGTGTGTATGAATGTGTGTAGCAGTGGTGTTAATGTGGAGCTGAAAAATCCTCCAAGCTTCCAAAAAAACTTTGTAAAAAATTCTGCTTCCCAAGCAGAACAAAACTTTTTCTACATTTGCTCCTGAGTTTTATACTCTCTTATGAACTAAAAAAATCCCCTGAGTTGTTTCTTCAGAAATCCCTGATGCAGGAATAATTCCCTCCTGCATGTGGTATTTCCTACCTTTCACACTTTTCTTTGTGAATTGCATGATACTTTATGTTCTCATGCTTCCATTTAGAAATTATATATCAGAAGCTATGAAGTTAGGTACTCCTGAGGACCTTTTCATTTTGAAGTGTTTCCATGTGGAAAGTGATTTCACAGGAGCGGAAAAGAATGTAATCTCTGGACATTTGGAGAAGTGTATGATATAGCACTTATTTCCATTCATAATCCATCATTATGTTGAGGTTAATGTGTATACATCAGGTCCTGCAAGGAACCCTATTAGAGCAGAAAACACAATCCCCCTCCACCCCTTATTTTTTGGTCCAGCAAGCTGTACTAAAGTGCTTTGTGGTTCTTTAAAGGTTAAATTGATTAGCAAAATTATATAATAGTTCCTTACATTATCTTTTCTTCTTTTTCAGGCTCAGAAGTCGTGGATAGAAAGAGCGTTTTACAAAAGGGAATGTGTTCATATCATACCCAGCACCAAAGACCCCCATAGGTAAAAAAAAAAAGTTTTTGTTAATTAATTTTTGTATGTCAGATTGTGCTTTATTACATCTCAGTGCAACTTCAGCTTTTGATATTTGTTAAGAAAAGGACAGCTCTGTTTTGATAAATTGATAATTAACAGGCAACAGGAAAGTAAAACTGGCACAGCTTCATTCTTTTAACTGGTAAAATACTCTAGATGAGAAATACAGGTTTATTGTATGGGAAAAATGAATAATGACAGATAATACTTTGCAAAGTAAAATATTTTTATTTCATGATGAATGAGTGACATCCAACATCTTATAAGCAGACTTCCATTTATGCAGTGGGTGCACATATATGACCATGACTTGCCTAAAAAGCATCTCTTCCCTGGCATTGAAGCAGATTTGTGGGATCCACCAAGTCTTCCAATGAGAGAGGAAACCCATTTCACCATTTGTTTGTTTAAAAGCAAGTACAATTTTCTTAAGATCTTAAGAAATAGGAAATATTTTAAAGATCTGTAACAATAAATTTGGTTTGTGTGAGCACATATTTAACCTACTTGAAAGCCTTATAATGTCGCCCTTTCACATCATCCTTAAGAAGAAATGAAAAGACTATAACAGTCATTTCAGGTAAGTCCAATGTGAGCTGGCATGCAAAGCCTGCTCCTGAGGCCATTGTGGTACCTGGGGTGGCTTCCGAGAGTTTTTCTCATGGATTGCTTGTTGGCAGTTACATTTCATGAGGAAGAAAACAAACAAACGAGCAAACAAACAAAAAACGTGTGGAGGTTTTTCAGGTATGCTGTCATATAGGAATGAGGAAAGGTGACCCTGCTTAAAATCCCACTTAGCGAGATTCACTGAAGTATTTGTACAATTCTATACCTAGTCCAAACTGTATTTATGAATATATCTCAGCCTGCTCAGCCTTTGGTTATGTTTACCCTGGTTCTTTGTCATGCTAGGAAATAAGAGCAATTTTTGCTTAATGCCATAGGTGTTGCTGTGGACGCCTGATAGGTCAACATGTGGGACTTACTCCAAGCATCACCATTATTCAAAATGAGAAAAATGAAGGTCGGCTTACTCGAAATGACATCCAGTCAGAGAAGTGGTCAATCAGCAAACACACTCAACTCAGCCCCACCGATGCCTTTGGAACCATTGAATTCCAAGGAGGGGGTCATTCAAATAAAGCCATGGTAATTAAAGAATTCCAAAATGTGTTTCCTTCTCTATGAACCTCTATGTGTTTGCTTTTCTTGGAAAGGGCATGTCTGTCTTTGCTCTACATGTCATGTGTGGGAAAAGACTGTTATTATTTAAATAGCACCATCAGTGTACATCAAAGGCAACAAAAAAGTCTTCTGGTACCTCGAAGGCTAACAAATTCTCTCTCTGAATCTGCTCCATTTTACTCATGTTCATTTCCTTAAATATGAGATGGTATTTCACATTGGATATAAACAAACCAATTAATTTCTTGAAATTCTTTTTTAAAAAAATCTTATTCAAAAAGTGCTTCTTTAATATAAAATAATCAACTCCATTCAGCAGTTCTGTAACTTTATTAAAGTAGTAAAGGAATCTCTTTTTAATAGACTTCTAAGAAAAACGTAAACTATTGATGTAACTTTAAAACAGACTACAGTTCAATGCAGCAAATTGCTTTTTCAAGGATAAGCTGAAAGTCTTAAAATTTTTTCAACAAACAATATATCAACTGAAGTTATATTTATTTGGTCAACATTGTTCTACAAAATACTCATACGCACTACTACTATTTAATTGCTCAAATTGCCCAGGTTCAGGGGAAAAAAAGACATCAGTCTTCCAACAAAGCATGTCTCCATTGCAAATGTCCATTCTAGAGAGCCAAGCAGGCAACCTGGTGCTTGGGATCAAATAGTAAAATGCCCCACACCCTTAAGCCCAATGGTTCTTCATTCTTGGCCCTGTTTCCAGCCATCTAGCACACTACCTTCATGTAGTGAAAAAGATATTAATTCAACAAGTATTATGTTGCCAACCATCATGAATTGTTTACATAGTGACATATACCAGTCTTGACCTGAAACAGAAGAATAAATGATATTTTCCCAGACACTGAGTTGCCACTCTGAATTTTTTTCCCTTCCCATGCAAGTCATTTTAAGTTAATTTAAGGCTTAAAAAGCCAATGTTCTCAAACCCAGAAACATTTCCAGCCACACAGTAGAACATGTGGAATATGGTTCTCTTGCCTGTCAAAATAACATGGTTGTCTTTCATTTCCACTAAAGGTTAGTCACCTTGTTTATTCCGTGACAAGGTCTCCAAATGCTTGTGGCTTTGAACTGCTGTGCTGCAGGCATTCAGAGATTGTAGCGTACTAGAAACAACAGTATAAGTTCATGATTTATTCAACTAGCATATGGTGTATGAACGCTAAACCAATTTTTAAAGTTAACTTTAGCTATCATATTTGACAAAGTCATTATGGAGACTAGGTAGTGTGTTATAGTTCCACGTCAGTTCCAGTAAAATTTGGTAAAATTGAGGCCTTATTTTTTTATTATTTTTATTTTTTGCTAAGTTGACAGTGTAGCAGTGTTTAATTGCCACTGCAAGATTTCATAGAACTTATTTGCAAAGAAACCATAGTCACGCAATTTCTTTCAAAATAATTGTTGCCAGCACTCAGATCATATAAATGCCACTTCATTTGTCATCTATCACCAACTTGCGCTTTACTAAGTTGACATTTTTTCACTATGGAGAAAACTTCCAAATTTAACCCCATTTTATGTTTGCAGCAATGTTACAAGCTCAAGAAAATGACATCATTGAGACATAAACAATGATGGCTCATTATTATGTTCTCAGTCTCATGTGCCTTCTGTCACCTCCGTTCCAGCACAACTGTGAGGAAGAGTTAAACTAATTAATCTGTGTATGGTTTATTGAATTAATTAATTAATTAAACTAATTAATCTGTGTATGGTTTATTGAAACACAGCATCTTCCTGAACCAGCCTTTGAAGTTGGCAGCTCATGGTCTGAGCACAGAAGTAGCACACCACCCCCAATATTTGTTTCATTAATGGTTCAATAACCATTTGTTGCTTTGTGCTTTCAAGTTCTTACATCTTATGGTGACCCTGGTAATTAATGATCCACAGAAGGTCCTATCATTTAATAGCCCTACTCAGTCTTCCAAGCTAAGTGCTACGGTTTTATTTATTGAAGCCAATCCATCTCATATTTGGTCTTCCTCTTCTCCTGCTGCCTTCAACTTTTCCAAGCCATTGCTTGTGTACTCATAATACAACCAATGTAGAATAGCCTCATTTTAGTCATTTTAGCTTCCGTGGAGAGTTCAGGCTTGAGTTGATCTGTAGCCTACTTATTTGTCTATCTTGTGGTTCATGCTATCTGTAAAGCTCTCCATCAACACTACATTTCAAATGAGGCGGGTTTTACCCCCTGTTGAATTAACTCTAGTTACTGAAGTCTTCATAATTAAAAACACAGCTTTTGATCCCCTCCTTGGGGACATGCCAGAAGAGAATGGAGAGCTATATGAACACAGTGCTCACCCAGAACCTTTCATGTGACAACAACCAACTTTATTGCATCCACATTCAGCCAATGACTTACCCAAGAAAACCCACCAAGAAGGCTCCAATACCATATATCCTGTAGCTTTGAAAACTCTTGAGTTCATTAGCAGTTTGCTCTGAGGCAGCTGTTAAAAACCACAGATTACAAAGCTTACTGGGTACTCTGTTATATCCTGCAGTTCTTTGATTTCTGTGCTGTATAAATAATTCACAATAAGGCAGGAGCACCTTACTCCCACGGCAATGGGTAGAACTCTTCTGGTGTTCTAGTGAGGTTTGTGGAACTTGCTGTGGCTAATTGCGATGCATCTCTTTTACATGCCTAACCACCCATCTGGTTACATAACTGAGATGTGTCCTGGCACACTGTCAATTTAGCAGCTATTAGCTGTGAAAAGTTACGCAGTCCATGAATGAGCACCAATAGGATTCCAGCCAATATTTCTTTATATTTGGTCACATAAGACATCTTCTTCCACTAACGCAAAACTATATGTTCATTAATTGTGTAGTAAACTGTAATATTCTATGGTAAAGTATAGCATAGTAAACTAACTATATTATAATTATAATTATTATAATTTATATAATTAATAAGTAACTAATAATTCAGTACCAGGTTCTATACAAGTACTGTTGTACAAATGTTCAGTGAAATTATTATGAATGATTATTATAATTTCATAGAATGTTCATAATGTTTTGATTGGAAAAAAACACATGATGTAGTTAACTCTTGGAAAGATAAGTATTTTTACTGCCAACTCCTTTGCTTTTTCTCATTATTTTTTTTAACAATGCCCTTCATTCTGTAGTATGTGCGTGTGTCTTTTGACACAAAACCTGATCTTCTTCTGCACTTGATGACCAAGGAATGGCAGCTTGAACTACCCAAGCTTCTAATCTCAGTGCACGGAGGCCTGCAGAATTTTGAACTCCAGCCAAAGCTCAAGCAAGTCTTTGGGAAAGGCCTCATCAAAGCTGCCATGACAACTGGAGCATGGATTTTCACTGGAGGAGTAAACACAGGTAACTGCAATCTGGCAAAAAGAATTTCTGCATACGTAAGGGCACAAGAGCATTTTCAAGACTATAAAAATCCTCTAACAGAGTCCTGTCACTACATTCAAAGAAATGAATGGCCTTACATCCATATAGCATGTTTTTGACGTGCCTTTTTCAAATTAAAGATCACATTAGAGACATTTGTTTGCACTTGGCATGTCTGTGTTTCAGAATACAGACAGCCATGGCAGGCACTGGGCAGGAAGGATGTTAACTCTCTCCACTCCCAAGGTCATAATCTTACCCATCTCTGTCCCAGGCTCTTGCAGTGCTGTGATTTAAACTGGAGGAAAGTTCTCATTGGCAATTTTTTGCCAGGACTGCAGAGAGGAGAAAGTCTTAGTCCTGCTTGAGCCCAGCTACCATGACTTTTTAGATAATGTGCATGTTAAGTACAAAAGCACAGTTAATGTCCTATCTGTTCTGTTTCAAGAAAGTGCCATATGTGATATTTCCAAGTAGTCTCCATGTTCACATTGGGCACTCCCAGAAATTACCATCCAAAATCTGACACTGTTAGGCTTTCGCAGACTAAAAGGGCATTTAGGCCACTCTTTGTACTGCTCCAGGAATGGGCGGGTCCACTCCTAAAGACAGTGATCCAACAATGTCTTTCCTGGAGTGGATCAGCCCACCTGTACAGCAATCCTATCCATACTTTTCTGAGCCCCTGCCAGGGGCATCTACTTTTTCGGTATGGGTAGGATCACCCTGATATGGGTCAGTTCCATCCCATGCAATCACTGGAACTAATTAAAAGCAAGCCCTCTGGTTTGAATTTGCCAGTATTGTGAAGAGGCTTAACACTGCTGTCAAGGAACTCAGCCTCTCCCCAATGCTTAAGGATTGTGTTTGTGCATGTACTGTATGTGTGTGCTTGCATATGTTTACTGTTATCCCTTACTGTTATCCCTTCTCCCTTCAAAAATGGCTATACCTATATGGCCTATTCTCCAAGCTATGAAAAGGGAGCCATTTCCCACCTTGTCATCTTCTTTTGGATTGTTGTGCATGAAGATGGACAGCAAATGGAATCTTTGTGGGCCTTTGGCTAAGACCAAGCATAGTGGAACCTTGAGGGACCAGAAAAGGGAGAGGCTCTAAGAAATGGTGCAATTTGGTTTCATCTGGAAGAATCCTGTGCTCTATCTGCACAGTGTACATACATGTAGCAGATGATCGGCAAAAACAGCTATTTAAAGGAGCTCTATTTTGTATCTCTGTTTTCTTCCTCTTTCCTCTCAGTAGAAAAGGCACTTCCTGCATGTGTCCTTGCTTGCTTCAGGGTCAGGTGGCACTTGAGGTTGTTAAGGCAAAAGAACAGCAGGAAGGGCAGACAAGCTTGTAATTCTACTAGTTGTATTCAGAGTTTTTCCATGAAAATCATGGATGGGTCAATGGCTGCCCTTCTCTCCTTTAATTTTTGTAATTTAGGCCAGTTGAATAATTTGCTTATAAGACATAAATTCTGAGTTGCCCTGTCACAAGATGTCCTTTAAAAAAAAAAGGCACAGAATCTCCAAATTCCTAGCAATTAGAAAGCTATGGCAATTTGCTGCTATTACACAAACATTCTTCTGTTTTATTTTTAGCAGAGATTCATGCTCTCATTTTTCAGTAACCCATATGGAGAGAGTGACTATAAGAGACAACTACACCCACATATACATTTTATTACAGGCATTAATATATAAGGGTTTTGCACTCTGCCATATGCTTGTATGTTTTTCCTTCACCTTCCCCAGGAGTCATTCGGCATGTTGGTGATGCACTCAAGGACCATGCCTCAAAATCTAGAGGGAAGATCTGCACTATTGGAATAGCTCCCTGGGGAATTGTAGAAAACCAAGAGGATCTAATTGGCAAAGATGTAAGTCCCTGGCTTATCTCTCTCTGTGTTTGTTTTGTCAACATGTTCTTGACACTGAACTTTTCTTTCACGCTGTCTCAAATCATTTTAAAAGAGGCATATGTAGCAATACCAATATCCATCTGCATTTTTAATAAAAATTGTAAAAAAAAGGCTAGTGTTTGAATTCTCATGCCTTATCTGTAAAATCAAGGATTAGGAACACAATGAATAATGAGTCTGTGCAAAAAAAAAAAGAGCATTAGGGACAAAGCAATTTATAGTAAAAGGTTTATAAAATTCAACTCATTTTTACACTAGCCATTGTGAATTTCATTTACAGAAATACAGTAGGATCCCGATATCTGTGGGGATCAGTTCCAAGCCCCACTCCCAAAGTTAGTGAAAAAATAGGGATTATAGCTAACGGTCTCTTGAACCCAGAACACCCCCCACCTGTAATGTTTATCTTGATGGTGCCTCTGTGAGGAAGAAGAGCTACTGAAATATTCCCTCCTTCATTAAGGTGAAGTCCATCTTTCTGTCTCTTGCAGACCCTGTCTTTCACATATACACACACACAATCTCAATGGCTCTGCAGGTTTCTCTTCTTTGAAAACCATTAAGGATCCGTTTGCCAAGGAAACAAGGAAATAGATCCTTGATGAAAGGGCTTGCCAGAAGACAGACACTGCTCTAGAGGGAACCACTTCGGAATGCTGGGAGACCAGTCAAAATGGCACTGGCTTCTCTCAAGTGGCCAGTCTGATAATTGCACCTTGAACATCTGGATTTTGAGAGAGAGAGAGGGAGAGTATTCTTAGCCAGTGAATAAGCAAATCAGTGGGCGTTGATCCAGAAGCTATGGGAATCCTGCTGTAACTCATTGTGAAAATTGAAAAACTGTCAAAACCTTCTTGGGTTTTGATTGATTAATTTTTTCTGGCCTGGGACGTATTTTTTGTTACATTTTTATCCTGCCTTTTTTTCTAACAGCATTTTTTGTGGGCATTTGTTCTTGGGTTGCTTGCAAAATCTTTCCTGGGCACTCAAAGAATGTTCACAACATCCTGATCCCAGTTTTAAACAAAAGAAAAAAAAGCTAACCTACCATTGTTTGAAGGTAAAGGTAAAGTTTCCCCTTGACAAATGATTGTTATGGGGTTTTTGGGCTCTTTGGCTGTGTTCTGAACATTGTTCTTCCTGATGTTTCACCAGTCTCTGTGGCCAGCATCTGAAGATGCCGGCCACAGAGATTGGAGAAATGTCAGGAAGAACAACCTTCAGAGCACGGGCAAGGAGCCCAAAAAAACCACAACAACCATCAGACCTCGGCCATGAAAACCTTCGAGAATACATTCCCCTTGACAATTTGTCCAGTCGTGTCTGACTCTAGGGGGCAATCTCTGTTTCCAACCCATAGAACTAGCGTTTGTCCAAAGACAATCTTCCATGGTCATGTGGCCAGCGTGACTAGACACAGAATGCAGTTACCTTCCCACCATGGTGATACCTATTTATCTACTCGCATTTTGCATATTTCATGCTTTAGAACTGCTAGGTTCACGGGAGCTGGGACAAGCGACGGGGGCTCACTCTGCGGTTTAACCCGCAACACCCATCTCTCAAGCCTCACAAGTTCTGGAAAAACTTCTACTAGGAACAAGAGCCCATCCTGTAGAGAAATCTTGGGGGTGAAGGAAGATAGATTGTCAGTGGGTTGACTGGACACAACAGTAGTTTACTTCTCACACCTTAGACCCTAAGACCCTTAGACCTTCTCTCCCAAGACCCTTAGACCCTCTCTCCAAAAGCAACTCCTTTTTTCCTCCTTTGTTATCATTCCAACTTCTACTGCCCATTGATATTCCATTGCAGTTTTATCCCCCAGGCTTCCAAAGTAGCTGTTTTCCCCAAATTATTGTCCATTTATCTTCAAACTGCTACTCTCCTATTTGAGATTTGGGATTAACCTACGATCCAAAGGTTATATTCTGGATCTAATCTAATCAAATATGTATTTCCTCTATTATGTTCATGGCGTCTTTACTAATTTTCCTAAATTACACTCAGCCTTGGTGTTACCATAGTTGTATACAGCATAACACATGGTGCTTGCAAATTTCAGGTACTGATGCCACTGTGATGGTAAATCATTATGGCAACAGGATACTGCAGTGACTTCTAGTGCAATAAATAAAATCTGATGAATGGGCCCACTGCAATTTGGAATACTATTTGGAAACAAGTTGCCTAAAACAGATTCTGCTGTCAAGTGCGTAATCTAAAAATTCATGAAATGAGAGGCCAAAGGATGAATATTAAAAAAGAAAAACAAGAAAAATAATGTGCCAATATTTAATAAGCAAAATCCTATCCACGTCAGTATAACATGAAGTTATGTTGTTGTAAATGTGTCATGTGCTCTGCCTGACAACAAGGAAGTGCACTAATCAATTGTGCAAATGGTCATGAATCCCCAGCATGACCTATTCTGCAATGCACTGTTGGGAGTGCTTGATGGATAGCACTCCCACTTGTAACTATTGCAGGTGTAACCTTAAGTTGTGCCTGCACAACTGTGCAACAGGATATAGGCCAATTTTTGAGGGGATATGATTTACCTCTCTTCACCCACATTAGAAAGCACTTAGTTCCATACCCCAATGTTCTTTCATTCTCTCTCTACCACAAGTGCGCACTTACCCCAATCCTCCAGCCACTTACAGGAAATTGAAGCTCTCTGTTTAGAAATTTGAGGATCTTGATTTTACAGTTAAATTCATCCAGTTTTTACAAATAAACAGACTGTATTTTTCAGCCTACAGAAAGGCAGTGTAGTGCAGTGTAGTGCAGTGGGATAGAGTGATGGATTCAAATCCATGCTAAGGCATGGAAATTCACTGGGGCAGGAAGTGGCATTGATTAACCATTCCTTAAGCATCTCGGGTGTCTTGAGAAGTCTGTTTTATAAATACAGAACTGCAGCACTGGAGTTCAGGAACTTGGGTGGTGCTTACATTAACCCAGGGTTAGCTATGCCAAAGCTGATTATGGGGACACCATCTTTTTTTCAAATATCAGACAGCTCATCAGCTAAATAAATGCAGGGTGCCACAATACTGTTCGTAATGGCTACATCCAGCACCAGTTCTCCTTCCATTAAAAAGGCTTGGTTAATATAGGCCCAAGGTGTTAGGACCATGAAGCGCAGCAGACTCACATGGACGGGAGGGCTCTCTAACCAGTTTACTCCAATTACCATATATCAGTCTGAACATAACATACATTTATCCAAATCATACAGAATTTGGTAGGATATATTTCCCAGTGTCATCGAAGCAACCAACATGAATTTGACACAACTCCGGGAGGCAGTGGAAGACAGGAGGGCCTGCCATGGTCTGGTCCATGGGGTCACGAAGAGTTGCACACGACTAAACGACTATACAACGATGATTTCCCAGTAAAGTTTCCTTTAAATATGACATGAATATCAGAGGAGTTTATCTGTGCTTTTCTTACCATAATAACACCTGCAAAGTGTGATGAAGACAATGGTATGAGCCTTTACTTATAAGGTGTTGCTTGCCAATATTGGCCAGGTGACATTTTCACAACATAAAGTGCATATATATATCTGGTCTGGTCTTAACAAGCCGCCAATATTGACCAGGTGACATTTTCACAACATAAAGTGTATATATATATATATCTGGTCTGGTCTTAACAAGCATGAGATCCATTGCTGAAAGTACCTGCCTTATTATATACAGGCATGTAGGACTATATGTTATATTCCAGACTCTGACATAAGCTGCACTGGGGACATTTATTCTTAGAAGTTCAAATCAGAGTAGAATGGACATTCAAACATAATTTGCAAAATCTGTTTGGCATTATAACAGTCGTGATTATATAATAATAATAACTCCTTTCTTCTATGGTTTTAAGTTATCTGAGGATAACCATTTGAAACATATTTACCTTTCACTTAGAAAGTGAACCTGACATGCAAGCTAACAATATGTGATAGAAAAACAAAAGTGAATCTGCCAGGAGCTACATTTTTTCTTCTTCTGTAAACAAGGACTGCAGTATTATTTAATTCAATCTTTTGACGTTCTTGGAAGTAAAATAGATTTCAGATGCCTTTCTCGGGTTTTTCAGTAAGTGTGATTTACATGATCAAAACTGAGCCTTGACCTAATTCTCTGCTGCTCTGTTTCTCATACCTGAAGCCCAAAGCACATTAAGGCAAAGCTAGGAGCTGCGGCAGTGGCTGGTAACTTGGGAGACTCTTCTCACAGAACATTTTTCATTAATATTTGTGGCTCTACCAGAGCTTGGCAAGGGTAGTGGTACAGCCAAGACGTTAATGTTAAGTCATTAAGGCAAGTTAAATAGTTCATCTTTAAAAGCTGAGAAATTAACAGTAATGGTTAATTTGCTTGTACATGTTAGTAAATAGCAAAATATCAACTGTAATGAGTTAACACATGAGAAATATTATAATGGTACCATTGCCTTCTTTAATAGTTGAAATAATGATTTCTTCATTCATTACTGAAAATTTTAATGAAGCAGAGCAAAGAATAAATTAATTAATTAATATATTTTTGCCAACCTTTGCTGTTTAGCATAATAAATAAAGAAACTATGTCTGTCATATCTAATCTCATCTTGCAAGATTAGGCAGTATTACTATAAGGTTTTGGGGGGTTTTTTGCAAATTATTTGATGGCTGTTTCTTATCTGCTTATATTGCCTGCCTGGCAAATATTTTAAATGAATTCTGCTGTGCTCTGTGTGATGGCATATTGTAGTAATAGAGCAGTAGGGAGGATTTGATTTGTCTACAAAGGGCAAACAAACGCGACATACTGTGAGTGCTGACATTTGAAAAACAAAAAAGGAGAGATCCTTCTAAACTGGATTTTTTGCCATGGTGATGTTTGCAAGCAGGTGCATTTAAGACTGAAAGCAAAGTGTGTTGCTTATATACAGCCCCTCGATGCTTAAAGCTCTCTTTGGGCGATTTATAATTTAATTATGCAGGCTACACGTTGCCCACCTATCCAGCAAACTGGTACTCAATTTACCAAACTCGGAAGGTTGGAAGGTTGAGTCAACCTTGAGCCAGCTCCTTGAGCCAAGATCAAATTCAGGTCATGAGTAGAGTCTTCACGGCAGTACTGCAGTTTAACCACTGCACCACGAGACTAAGGACCCGGTTGTACTGTTGATTTGTACCAACTTCACAGTATTTTAATTCAATTTCCTGTCACATGGTTTATATATTGGTGCACCTATTCACTTTGGAAATAGCAGTTCTGATTTAAATTACAGAATTTAAACTGGTTTGAGAGGCCACTCATGGTGTACGTGTGTGTTTTTTTCCCATTACTTTTGCAGAGGTGAAAAAGAAATGTTCTAGAACACTGGTTCTTAACCTTGGGTTACTCAGGAGTTTTGGACTGCAACTCCCAGAAGCCTTCACCACCAGCTGTGCTGATTATGGTATACGTGTATGTTTTTTTCCCATTAGTTTTGCAGAGGTGCAAAAGAAATATTCTAGAGCTGAGAGAAATCCTCAAGTTCTGGGCACTCATTGGAGAAAAGGCCTCTGTTCCCACCTCACACGTATGATAATAGAACTGTGAGAAATCCTCAAGTTCTGGGCACTCACTGGAGAAAAGGCCTCTGTTCCCACCTCACACCCCGTTCTACAAAGTATGATAAGCTGCAAGCTGTGTCTTCTGCTCTAATGAGTTAACCTCCCTCCTTGCTTTTCCAGCCTGAAACCAAGCTGCAAATGGAAAGTCCTTTAACAAAGGACTTTTCACCAGTTCTGCTGGATCCTTTTTTTCTCTCTGTTACTTGCTTTCTTACAGTGCTTAATTTACGATAGTAGCAGATGATGTGAAGTGATACAATTTAAATAGCACTGTACAGTATTTTAAAAAGCCCTTCCTGCCTCTCCTAAAAAACTTACATTCCAGCCAAAAATAAAATTGGGCTTCTTTGTGCGTCATTTAACTGGGATTTTAAAAACTAGTTTTTATTTGCACAAAACCCTATCAACAGATATTCTTACTGTCACTATAACACACCCTAAGACATTTTGTTTTGATTCAGGAAGGAACAAGTTCTTTTCTGCTAAGCTTTCCCACTAACTGTTGAAAAAAGGAATAAAAGGACATCCAAATTAATGAAACAAAAAGGTGGCTGATATGTCCTTTTATTTGTATATTCATATTACTCTGGAGTGCTACTTTCACAAGAAATGCCCTAAAGGTTTGGCAAAATCATTGTAACTTTCCCTCAATCTGGCTTCCAGAGTAGCAATAAATTACATTGTAGTAAGAAAGTATGGATGTCAACAAATGTAGACATGTCACCACATGAATAATGTTACTAAACAAATAACAAGACATGTAGTTCAGCCATGGATCTCAAACTAAATCTCCAGTACAGTTCCTTGAGCATCGCAAAGAATTCCAGAGGGCTGGGAAATGCTCGCCAGTTTCAGAGTGATTCCATGGGCCAAAAGGATGAGGGAAAGGGGGGGGGGAGCTCTATGATGTGTGTGAATGTCAGAGTGGATTTGGGCCTGTGGAAACAACACTGGGAATGCCCGCATAATATGTGATGTGTAGTGAATATTTAAGATACTTCTGTGTACCATAATGGGACTTCCAAACTAACATGACTTATTTAAAAAATATGGTGGGAAGACTAATGTTGATACTCTAATATTTGAATTGTGAAAGTGGAACTGAAGTACAGTGGACCCTCTACTTAAGGAATTAATCTGTATTGGAATGGTGGCTGAGGGGAGCTCTATGATGTGTGTGAATTTCACAGTGGATTTGGGCCTGTGGAAACAACACTAGGAATGCCCGCATAAAATGTGATGTGTAGTGAATATTTAAGATACTTCTGTGTACCATAATGGGACTTCCAAACTAACATGACTTATTTAAAAAATATGGTGGGAAGACTAATGTTGATACTCTAATATTCGAATTGTGAAAGTGGAACTGAAGTATAAACATCAGAAAAACCAATTTTCCCATCAAAAGTATGATCCCAATGTGATACCTCNGAATCTAAATTTTGCAGCCAGAGAAGTCTGTAACTCGAAAAGTCTGTAAGTCGAGCCATCTGTAAGTCGAGGGTCCACTGTATAAACATCAGAAAAACCAATTTTCCCGTCAAAAGTATGATCCCAATGTGATACCTCATTTTTATACCACCATTGTTGCAACCTATGGTTTTAACAATAAATTTGAGTGTTTTTTGTGTTCTTAAAACCTCCAGCTGTATTTAAATTGAGTGAGTAAGCACTGGCAAAAATTTTGTTGACCCCTTGTTATCAAATTATTATCGCTATATTAGGAATGCTGTACAGTTTCTCCCAGTAGCTGTATGTTCTACTTTTCTCTCATATGCAGGTCGTCCGACCATACCAAACGATGTCTAATCCGATGAGTAAATTGACAGTACTCAACAGCATGCATTCCCATTTTATTCTGGCGGATAATGGGACTACAGGAAAATACGGCGCAGAAGTAAAACTTCGCAGACAATTGGAAAAGCACATCTCACTTCAGAAGATAAATACAAGTGAGCAATTCACTTTCTTCATCTACCTGTTAATCGTGGTGACAAAATGACAATATACCTTTTAAAAAACAGTCCAGGTTTAAATGGTGGAGAGGATTGAAAGCAGGCTAGATACAAATTGTAGTCAAATGCTCCAACGTGCTTCAGAACCAATGGGTATTTTCTGCATTGTCACATAGCCTATGTACAATCAATCACATCATATTAAAGTTGCATGAGTTGTTGTGCATACTCAGATATTAATGAATATGTCTTTAATTATAAGACTGACTTCATTAAAGAGTTTCATCAAGGCCACAAATGGTACTCGCAGAGAATGAAGAAGCAAGTTCAAAATCAAAATTCCTAACACTACTTATAAGAGTCAGGGCAACAAGTAGGAAGCTAGGGAGCTGCTAGGATGGAGCACATAAATAATACTATATGCATGTCATGATGAGAAGGATCTCAAGTAGGGAAGGACATTTGGCTGCAAATGCAGGCAAAGTAGACTGTGTCAAAAGAAGGCAGGTTTCATAGATGAAACTGACTTGTAATGGCAGCATCCAAAATCCAGAAAGGACTGTAGACATGCACACATATGTGGAGCCTTCCTGATTTCCTTTTCCAGCTTCATCACAGATCAGTTCTGAGGCTCCTCAAAGATTAGGCAGTTGGGTTACCGAGAGGTATGCTGAGGTCTGAAAGGTATCTTCCATGGTGAAATCTTTCTTCATTGTAATCTGGATCCTTTCAGAGGCAGCCACTTAAGAACATGTAGGCATGGATGTTTCTTGTACTGAATCAGAAGAGGATTTAAAATGACTTGGAAAGGCAATCCATTGCACCTGATTTTTGGGCTGTATAGATAAGGAACTACTCTTTTTATTCCATCCACTGAAAGCTCCTGCCTCCTAGACATCATCTACTTGGAAAAGCAATCCATTGCACCTGACTTGGGCTGTATAGATACTGAAAGCTCCTGCCTCCTAGACATCATCTGTTCTCCATAGGCATCCTTCAGTCTCGAGGTAACATGCTATGTATCGAGAAGTGTCCTCTCCAGAGCATGAAGCTTGGATAAAGTAGTATTTCTATTCCCACCAATAATATATAGGGGGGAAAGAATAAGTAAAGCAAGAACTCTTGACTAAGGATTTCTGTGTGCACCCAGAGAAGCTTAAACTAATCCAAATAATAGCAGCTCATCATAGTAATAGAATGTACTGTGTTAGCCACATACTAAAAACCTGGATAGAAATATTTAGTAAAACTATATGATTAAACCATGAGAATGAGAAACTAGCAGAATTTTATACGTAGATTACATTTTTGTGAAGCACCGTGTTATCTTGACATTTCAGTAGTAGAACACACATTATAAATTTATCAAAGGGCATTTTACATTTGCCAGGATGCTGTGTTACAGCACTGAGTCTTGCTGGGTTTCAAGAGAAGTGCATCCTTTATCTGGGGAAGTTCTTGGAATCTTTAGAACGCAGCCATTGAAGTCATTGGAATAACTATTAAGTTAGCAGGGATTAACTTGTGCTGTTGATTTAAATAGGGGTAGTCTAAGCATAAGGCTGGATTGCACCCACCGTCTGCATATACTCTGTAAGCAGCAGCACTGAAAACAATAGAGGAGGCACATTGGCAAGACTATTTGACATACTGTATATGAAGACTGGGGGAGGGAGTTGTCTCATGATGGCATTTCTTCTTCAAAGATGATTGTTTGATTAAGGCTTAGAGAATTTTATATGCAATTTTACTTTTTTTTCTGGAGTTTTGAAAGAGAGGGGCAAATTATTTTCCCTAGAGTAATGTTTACCTTTTGGTGTTCACATAAAGTTTATGTAACTTGTCACAGCTAAACGTGGCTAACTGGCAATACGTTGGGGCCCATCTAGTGGTTAGAGTCAGGCATGTGACTCTAATTTCACTAGTCTAGTCTCCTGTACCTCGCTGGGTTGAGTTAAACAAAGAAAACTAACTTGCTTTTCGTTGTATTTTAGTTCAGCTATTTTGTTTGTTTTCCTGTGAGGAAGGAAGATCAGGATGAGAAAGAGAGGGCTGGCCAGCATCACTCAGTGAGTTTCATGAGTCTGTGTGAAACTTAAATCTGTCTTCTAAGCCTTATTCCAACACCCTATGGTAATTATGCATGCTTTCTTTGTTAGACTTAAAAGATCAGCTCCCATATCAAACTCAGAGTTTTAAATATGTGTTTACACCTTTATTACTTAACTAGAATTTAGCTGGACAGAGGTAATTTATTTACTATTATTATTTTATTGTCTACATTTATGTCCACCTTTACCTTAGAGATCCCAAGGCAGTGTACATGCCTCAGGCCCTTTTCAGGAGAAAGGCAATTTATAAATATTTTAAATAAGATAAATAAATACCTAGCTAGCTTCCTCCCCACTTAATGCTCATAGAGAGAGAGTGCAACTAGTCCAATGAGGTCAACAAATGACTTACATGGCTGTAAAGAATTTGTTCCTAATCTATGTTACCACTCTGTCCACTTTTTCATTTACATCAAACAAATAACATTTCAGAATTACGTCTATTTCTAACCTCATAACCATTTATCTTGTGGCAATCTCTTCTCTGTAAATTATGCATATATTAATATATTTATCTACAACACATATCAGTGAATATTTACTTCAACTTTGGTAAAACCAGAAACATTCTTATATTTGTAGTGTTGAATTTTAGTGACATGAGATGTTTGGATGCATATATACTTGACAGGAAAAAGTGTTTTATAAAGTAGAGAAGAAATCCATTTGAAATAATTTTATTAAGGTATATGTTTTACCTTGTTTTGGTCTTCATTATATATAGATTTCAGGCATTTCTACAAGTCTCTGAAATCCTTGGATAAAAAAGAAAGATCTGGTTTTAAGTAAAATAGATTATTACAGATGCAGAAAAAATATTTTACTGAAACAATCAACCTGAGAGGCCCTGGAGAGACTACATGAAATGAGTTAAAGTATTCCAGAATTGCTGGCAGGAGCTGGGTTTTTTGTAAAGTTCAGACCCTGCTGCCCCACAACAGCTTTCATTTCCTATACCCTTCCATCCCTGATGCTAGTGATAACTAGAGAAGTGCTGATGTAACCCCAGGTTAAGTTAAAAAATGTCGACTGGCATTAGGAACAATTACCCAATGTAACTGTTATGAATTAAAACAAAAGTTAAAAACTAAAAAAAGACAAAAAAAAGTGGCGGCACCTTAAAGAGTAACTTAAATATTTTTAAGGTGAGCTTTTATGGACAGGTTCACTTCATTATCAATGCAATTGATAATTAAATTGACTATAATATAACCTCTGGTTCCTTGTGGTTCTTAAAGGAAGCTATGATCCACTTCCTATTTTACTGTGTCTAATGCCAACTTCCCTTGCCAAAAAAAACGAAAACAAAAACACCCAAGCTATTGGGTTTATTATCTATGCTTGATTTATTTGTGCGGACATTAAAGTAGCAAGTTCCCCAATTTTGTTTTTCCTACAGAATAATCGCTTCTGGATCTGTCATTCAGATATTAATGCAGAACTGAATTTTGTTGGTTGCATTCAGGTTAATATGGTGACAAGTTAATACAAGGCATGTCTTCTTCTACATGCTTTTCAAGATCCTGTTCAAGCCCCCAAAAGGTGTAGTCTTTGAAATCTTACACTACAGTATACTAGTCAGTCCCTAAACTGGAGTTGTTTTGCACGGCTACAGTACTTCTTCAGTATATTAGATATATATAGAAGCACATTATGGATAATTTAAACCAAGCTGGTTTTCAGTGTTATTACCTGTTCTGATTCATTTGTAAATTCCAGGAGGCACACTGGTAGCCAGGTGTAACACATCAGACAAAATTATGTCACCTGTTGTGCCATCATCTGCTCCTACTGAAAATCGATTTGATTTTACGTCTAGATGTCAACTTAATCAAGGGTGCCATCTGTGCCATATCAGTATTTACTCTTTAGATGCTATTGTGAGCAGACACGGCTTGAAAATGCTCCGTGTTTCGGTTTGGAGTGTTTGGGTGTTGTATAGCTGGGGATGCATTGCCAAGACTGAACACAGCACCGTGACAGATTGCATTCTGACATATAGTCTATTCTGAGCTGTTGAGAAGGAATCCATCTACTTTGGTTCCGAAGTATGATACTGTTGATTCATCATTCTCTTCTCATGTCTGAAAAGGCTTGGATAGATAACTTCACAGAGCTCTTAGCATTTAGCGCTTGAAAGGTGAGAACATTATATACTTCAACTATATTTTCTAGCTTGGCGTGAGGGATCTAATTTCACAGACCATTTCAGAGCAAAATTGCATGTATCATCAACAGACCAGCAGTGGGAAATTCTATGTTAGAACGAAACACAGTAGACATCCTATACTACTTGCCTTAGTGTTAGCCCTCTCAACAACATATTCTAACATGCTTTCTAAAGTTAAGCGTTCATATGTTTCCTTTGCTTGTAATGCATTCAATTTTAACATGCATAGTTACTATGCAGTCTATGAAACTATGTCACTAAAAAATTCTAGGCATCTAACCAAATGGCAAAGCCTGGGATTCCATCAGATGACTTCATGACCATTGAAGTGTTGAAGTGGTATCAAACTGTATAATTGTGGAGTGAAAATACATCCTTCCTATGCTTATAATACATCCCATACCTTTGTTCTTGCATTGGGAAAATATTCAGACAACTGAAATCACCAGTGGACTGAATATCTGTTCCCCTTGGGTCAATTAGGGAATCTATTTGGAGGTGATCACCATTCATATTCTCATATGTTATACCAATTTGACATAGGTAAGGAGAAACTACAATTAATGCCCATCTTGTTAGGGGTTTCCCTTAGAAAAAAACTGCCTGCAACATTCATTACAGACCAGGAAGGTGGGGGGAGACTCCTTATAAAAAGATTTGAAATATCCAGGACAAAATCCTATCGTGTAGCCACAGGGGTGTAACTTAACATTATG